GTTAACTTTTCAGGCCCATCAATGCCTTAATTGAAAATTATTGAAGTGATCTTCATACAAAAAGTGCTCAGATGAATTGTAATATTTAGACCACATTAAAGTCTCCTCTGAGGAAATTCTAATTAATTCACCGTAAGTTTGACTGAAGCAATTTAAATTAAAGTGCGCAATGGTTGCTTGGGGATATTTTTTAAATCGAACGTTTTCAACCAATTTAAGAATTCGAACATCTGAAGAAGATGACACTTTAATGTAAAAATCGTTTGATCTTGTTTTCTTTATTTTACATCAAACATACTTTAAAATCACCTGTTGACGAGATAACTGAAGGGATTGTGCTTCCAACTTGAAGGTGTATAGCCTTGAATTCTCATTCTGATGCTCATCAAATCTTTCGGTTTTTCAACTAGAAATATTCTCGAGCTCATTGCTCTCTCATGATGTTGTCTACCTTTCTGTATACAAACGTCCATCCATTTGTGTTATCAACTGTGGGGTTATTGGAAGAATGGGCTTTCAAGAGAATGAAAGGTACCGTCCTTCCAAAATGACCTTTTATGACCCTGTTTTTAGGTTATGGTCACATGATGTATACAGTTGGATAAGCACTTGTTTTATATATGTATAAAGGCTATGGTCACGCTTGTTTATTCGGATCAGTGTTGTGACACATGTAGAAGTTTGATAGGGATTTCTGTAATCACTGTTCCAAGGCTATGATCGCAAATGTGCTAGGATCAGAATTTTTGAGGGTATGGTCATATATACTATGTACTTAAACGAAGACTTAGGTGACCGTTGTTCTGAGGTTATGGTCACAAATATGTCCTTGGCTGAGATTTGTGTAATTACTGTTCTGAGGTTATGGTCACAAATATGTACTTCGGTGGGATTTGTGTAATTACTGTTCTAGGGTTATGGTCACAAATATGTACTTGGGTGGGATTTGTGTAATTACTGTTCTGAGGTTATGGTCACAAATATGTACTTGGGTGGGATTTGTGTAATTACTGTTCTAGGGTTATGGTCACAAATATGTACTTGGCTGAGATTTGTGTAATTACTGTTCTGAGGTTATGGTCACAAATATGTTCTTGGGTGGGATTTGTGTAATTAGTGTTCTGTGGCTATGGTCACAAATATGTACTTTGGTGGAATTTGTGAAATTACTGTTCTGAGGTTATGGTCAGAAATATGTACTTGGGTGGGATTTGTGAAATTACTGTTCTGAGGTTATGGTCACAAATATGTACTTGGGTGGGATTTGTGTAATTACTGTTCTGAGGCTATGGTCACAAATATGTACTTTGGTGGAATTTGTGAAATTACTGTTCTGAGGTTATGGTCACAAATATGTACTTGGGTGGGATTTGTGAAATTACTGTTCTGAGGTTATGGTCACAAATATGTACTTGGGTGGGATTTGTGTAATTACTGTTCTTAGGTTATGGTCACAAATATGTACTTGGGTGGAATTTGTGTAATTACTGTTTTGGGGCTATGGTCACAAATATGTACTTGGGTGGAATTTGTGTAATTACTGTTCTGTACTTGGGTGGGATTTGTTTAATTACTGTTCTTAGGTTATGGTCACAAATATGTACTTGGCTGAGATTTGTGAAATTACTGTTCTTAGGTTATGGTCACAAATATGTACTTGGCTGAGATTTGTGTAATTACTGTTCTGAGGTTATGGTCACAAATATGTACTTGGGTGGAATTTGTGAAATTACTGTTCTGAGGTTATGGTCACAAATATATACTTGGGTGGGATTTGTTTAATTACTGTTCTTAGGTTATGGTCACAAATATGTACTTGGCTGAGATTTGTGAAATTACTGTTCTGAGGTTATGGTCACAAATATGTACTTGGGTGGAATTTGTGTAATTACTGTTCTGAGGTTATGGTCACAAATATGTACTTCGGTGGGATTTGTGAAATTACTGTTCTTAGGTTATGGTCACAAATATGTACTTGGCTGAGATTTGTGTAATTACTGTTCTGAGGTTATGGTCACAAATATGTACTTGGCTGAGATTTGTGTAATTACTGTTCTGAGGTTATGGTCACAAATATGTTCTTGGGTGGGATTTGTGTAATTAGTGTTCTGAGGTTATGGTCACAAATATGTACTTGGCTGAGATTTGTGTAATTACTGTTCTGAGGTTATGGTCACAAATATGTACTTGGCTGAGATTTGTGTAATTACTGTTCTGAGGTTATGGTCACAAATATGTACTTTGGTGGGATTTATGTTATTACTGTTCTGAGGTTATGGTCACAAATTTGTACTGTGGTGAGATTTGTGTAATTACTGTTCTGAGGTTATGGTCACAAATATGTACTTGGCTGAGATTTGTGTTATTACTGTTCTGAGGTTATGGTCACAAATTTGTACTTTGGTGAGATTTGTGTAATTACTGTTCTGAGGTTATGGTCACAAATTTGTACTTTGGTGAGATTTGTGTAATTACTGTTCTGAAGTTATGGTCACAAATATGTACTTTGGTGGGATTTATGTTATTACTGTTCTGAGGTTATGGTCACAAATTTGTACTTTGGTGAGATTTGTGTAATTACTGTTCTGAGGTTATGGTCACAAATATGTACTTGGGTGGGATTTGTGTAATTACTGTTCTGAGGTTATGGTCACAAATATGTACTTGGCTGAGATTTGTGTAATTACTGTTCTGAGGTTATGGTCACAAATATGTACTTGGGTGGGATTTGTGAAATTACTGTTCTGAGGTTATGGTCACAAATATGTACTTGGCTGAGATTTGTGTAATTACTGTTCTGAGGTTATGGTCACAAATATGTACTTGGCTGAGATTTGTGTAATTACTGTTCTTAGGTTATGGTCACAAATATGTACTTGGCTGAGATTTGTGTAATTACTGTTCTGAGGTTATGGTCACAAATATGTACTTTGGTGGGATTTATGTTATTACTGTTCTGAGGTTATGGTCACAAATTTGTACTTTGGTGAGATTTGTGTAATTACTGTTCTGAGGTTATGGTCACAAATATGTTCTTGGGTGGGATTTGTGTAATTACTGTTCTTAGGTTATGGTCACAAATATGTACTTGGGTGGAATTTGTGTAATTACTGTTCTGTACTTGGGTGGGATTTGTTTAATTACTGTTCTTAGGTTATGGTCACAAATATGTACTTGGCTGAGATTTGTGAAATTACTGTTCTTAGGTTATGGTCACAAATATGTACTTGGCTGAGATTTGTGTAATTACTGTTCTGAGGTTATGGTCACAAATATGTACTTGGGTGGAATTTGTGAAATTACTGTTCTGAGGTTATGGTCACAAATATGTACTTGGGTGGAATTTGTGTAATTACTGTTCTGAGGTTATGGTCACAAATATGTACTTGGGTGTGATTTGGGTAATTACTGTTCTGAGGTTATGGTCACAAATAAATTACTGTTCTGAAGTTATGGTCACAAATATGTACTTGGTTGGGATTTGTGTAATTACTGTTCTGAAGTTATGGTCACCCATATGTACTTGGGTGGGATTTGTGTAATTACTTTCTGAGGTTATGGTCGCAAATGTGTAGTGGTACTAGGAATTGTTTAATCACTGTTTTTAATGGTCATACATATGTGTACTTAGATCAGAATTTGTATAATAACTGTTATAGTGTTATTTTATGTGGTCATTTTATAATGCCAAACTCAAAAGATTGTGTAATAGCAGTTTTTGCATTTTACGAATATCTGTAACAACTGTTACACAATTGTTACACTATTTGTGGGTGGTGGTGCCGTATGGCTGTCGTGCTAGATATTGTATTAATTTTAAGATAGTGACATTATAATACTTGTTTAACTTCAATGATCTAAAGGTTTATTGTTTCATATTAATCAAACCATATTTGTTCTTCGCCTTTTGTTGGGCGTGGTTTATTACTGTGATACAATCTGATCCGAAATGACAATAGGATAAATCCACCATACCTATAATGATATATGGGGATGATTCCGACATAATTATCCTAGTCAAACGTACGACTAGATTTGTACACCTGTCATTTAATTATTATATCATTTCGCTGAAATAAAGTGAAGTAATTACATTTTAATTGTATAATTACCATGATGTTGGTGCAAAGTGTGCTGTACAAGTGTTTTAAAAAATTAACTCAAGCAGTGTTTTGGCCAGACTGATCCTCGCAATTAACACATATTTTAATCTTAATTTTGATGATACTTTTTACTGTCTCACTAATGGTAATGTAATTAACTCAGGAATACATCGACTGTTCATTTAATAGCCCAATGATGTACATTTAAACCCCTCTGGGCACGTTGCAATTACTTTCAAATATACACACATCGTCTACATATTTAACATTGAGTTTCCATAGAGATTTGAGTAGAGCGAGGTGGTAGTGAAAGTTTAAAGGTTCCGGGGAAAGGTTGGGTGTCAAAAAGGTGACTTTCTAGCCAATAGCAGGAGGCATTGATCTTCAATAACTGTCATCGTTAGCGCTGCATTCGGGAGAACTCTCCCAATATTTACACAGTTATACGAGAAATGATCCATTCTGCAATGAATGTGTTTTTATTTTATCTCTAAATGAACCAATCGGATTCGTTTCTAGTCTCGTTTGTCAACTTAAGATATATCATTTGTACATGTTCTAGCTAAGTTGTAACTGACACTGAAAAAGTTTGATACTTCATTAAAACTTCATTCAATTTGCAAACTATATATAAATTGAGAACGTATCGTAATTATTACAGTGCGCCGTAATATACTGCTCCACGGATAGTTTAAAGGGCCAGAACGAAAGCTTTTTAGACGTACGTAGCCCTCTTACCGTCGTAGAAGATAAGTAAATATTAACATTCACATTCTCATCAAAAGGCTACATTCAACAATGTATCACTAGTCTTGATGAAATTCGGAAGTTGAAAACAGGAGGACGATAATTCAAAAGCTAATAGATCGAAAGATTAACAAGAAGTAAAAGTTACGAATTTCTGCAAGTGGACGCCATTTTCTTCTGGCACAAGAGACAATAGCAAAAATTCCAAGATGGAAGTGACGTCTAAGTTGATTCCTCAGGTACCAATACCAAAACGTTCCAGTGGTTTTTCGATAGACAGTTTGATCGGGCGTCCAGAGAAATCATCCACTCCTGAACAAAGAAGCCCTAGTCCGAGCAGAAGTCGCAGTCCCAGATCCGAATTGAGACCAGAGTCCCGCAAACAATCGTTACCCGCACATGCTTCTCACCTACATGATAAACAATTACCGGGGTTGGATGCCCTTGGCCAACAAGCCTTGTTGCATTCAACTTTAAATGCTTCGAGGGACATCATAGGACTTAACAGACTCAAAAACCTACAACTGTCCATCGGTGAGAACTTTGCTGCAGAATGGCACCGATGGAGCCATCTCGCCGTCCCAAACCCAGCGTTAAATGGTATGGGCGGACATCCAGGTCCAGGTGGGCCCGTGCATATGCCTCACCATGTCCCAGGACATCCTGGTCTCTCTCTACCCCTAACTGGTCCTCACCCCCTGCACAATCAAATGCTAATGGGACCCCATTCCTCGCGAGAGATGACCCTCTTCCCCTGGCTTATGGGGAGACAATTACTTCACCCAAGACTCGGTGGTAAGTTTATTATATCATTCAATTAAATTTTCTTCTCATCTTATTCGGTGATATTTACACAAGGGATTCAAATATGTGGAGATAAAATATAGCTTAATACTTATAACTGTTTAGTTTAAATTATTATTAAAAGTACAGTACAAAAGAAATTTGATGAGATATAGGTTTAAAATGTTTTGACAAGTTAAGAAAATATTCATGATGTACATTTTAATAATATTTGGTGATAACACGAATGGGAATGTGGGATATTATTTTATATAATGATGCATGTCGTATTTATTTAATTTTGGTTTGTTGTTGGTGGTAGAATAATTTGCTCCTTGCCAAAGAGTCAACTAAAATAATCACATATTATATATCCCATGTATTTTCGGCCTCGTAATCATGATCAATGTTAACCAAATACTGAGAATCTACCGGGCACATTGGAAATACAATAATGTCAACTGGTGAATCCCATCTGAATCATTATGAGGAAAATAAACAAAATTACAAATAAAACTCAGATAGGGCATTTCTGTTTTTATTATATTTTGATATTAGATACAGAAAGTTCACCAATGATATCCGTGAATTTCCCAATTACTTATAAATATGTAATCTTTTATTAGCAATTGTTTGATAACATTTTTCAGTATTTTGTAAACAACAATATTTCCCCTTAGCTGTCAGCAAAATGATACATTTTTGTTGTCTAAAAAATAATTTATCTGGTGTCAGTCTGTCATCAAATTGTTAACAAGAACGCCTACCAACATTTTTTACACATTTTCTTAGTAACTATAACCAAATGTTCTCCAAGAAATGTCGAGTTTTATTCCGAAACATATTAACCATATTTGCACTGTTGATTTAATGGGACAAAAAATGGAAGTGTATATATTTAAATTATTGAAATCTATATGAAAAATAATTTTAAATCTTCTTAAAACATTAGTTTGCATGAGCTACCTTTTAATGGTAGATTATGCAATACATTACTTTAGTGTCATAGATATCAGCACCATAATCCCTACTAAACTAAACAATAGACATAAATTAATAAATAAACCCTCCAATCAAAATCAGATATTATGTAGGATAACAATCAGAAAAGTTATAACCGTAAATCAATCAGAAATGAAAATATTTATTACACTAGTTCAACATTTTGGGGTTGTGAGATGGTGAATTTATTTAGCACCTAAAATAACTAAAATATTACTCAGTTTAAAATAGTATGTCTACAACTCGACATCACCTTCCTCTGGTTCGTTTGGTTTGACAAAAGGCAGGACCAAGGGAACTAAGTTCCGTGGCTGGTTTGAAGTTTTTGACATAATAAGAGATCAAAACAATCCTCTCGAAAACATGTAATCATTAGTACCCCAGAAATTGAAAATTCGGCCACAGGAAAGTAGCGGTTTTCTTAATTGATGTAATCAGTGGGATGAATATTGACCACAATAAAACACCATCATCAATAGTATCGAATTTGAATTTGTAGTTTACCTTTTTCTAAACTATGTCGGGTATGTGTTTGGATGGCTGTAATTATTGGAGATAATTCGGTTTACCAGCCACCACAGACGGGGATCAAAGGGAACATCGAATGGCCAGACGTAATGAAGGGCTCACCAGACCGACCTAATAGTGCCCAAAGTGGTCATCATAATTACTTTAACATGTTGTGTTGTTTTTATTTTAACCAATTAATCCACTGTTTGTAATAAATGCGAATATAAGTGTGGTGATCTTCACAAGCAAACATTGGCCGATATAATGACCCCTTTCGACATTCTGGGTTGGTAATCTACTTAAATTAAGTTAACTAAGTAGTAAGTAGTTAAAAAGAGCGAATTTCAAAAATTTACTGCAGTTAAATTAACTGTAAAACAAATATATATTATTTGGGTCCTATATATGACAGAGTGATTTTTGCGTTCATGAAATGTCCAGTTATGTGTCACGTTGGTTGCAATTAAGGGTTTACCGCATGAGATTAACGTGATTAGTAAGTCTTTGATGATCCTTTGACCAGTGAAACATATCAGCCTAATGGGGCTTAATTGCAAGCCATACTGACATAATTCATAGTGTTTCAGAGGGCGAAGTCGGGCCAGGCCCAGCAGTTTTACTACTCGACCCCATGATCAACTTGGGATCCATATTAAGCGCCTGTTTTCGCCATAACAACTTTATATATTGCTTTTTAATTCTTTGCAATCTAAGAAACAGCACAATCCTAAGATCTGGAGGTTTTACTGCATCAAATGCAACTCAGTAATTCCAATGTTCTAATGTTTTCTATGCCCGATAAAATGAAGAAGTTAACCTCAATTTTGGCTTTAAATTAAGACAACATGAATCAAAATGTGCCAAACACTCTTCTCAAATTGGTCATATATCAAGGTAAATGAGCATACCTGTCTACTCATTCTGGTTAATTGTCTAGGTGTTGGAACATATTTTCCATTGTCTTTAGTTCCCATCAAAATGAATGAATGGATATTTATTAATAATGAAAATTAAAATACTGATAAGTAGTATATTTTTTTAGAATTGATTCTTCTTTTGTATATTTTAAGTGTCCTCTTTGGAAGTTTAACTATGTCAAATATGTCTTTAAATACTGAATTTCATATTGGCACAGATACAACGTTAGCCCAAATTATATTTGCATACATTGATACATCCCCACTTGACATCATGAGAGTAAAACATGTGAATTCAGCATTTATTTTTGCTTAAATGATTTTTACATCAGACTGAGATCTAAATTGGTTAATTGGAATTTAATTGTATTGTCTAACTTTAACTGCTCGAATCCCCGAGAGATTATTGAAAGCAATTGATGCATTATTGGTCAGATAGAGTCTAGGCGTGCGATGGGCACGGTAATCAATTACAGTCCAATTTCACGAACATTTTGAAACCTAGGATCGACCGGATGGATTAATCAGTTCAATAAATGTTTTAGATTAGATTATATCAGCAAACAAAAGAACTGGTTCATATATATACTTCATTATTCAATTGAAAAGTATTTTTCTAATGCAAACGTGGAGTCTAGCCCAGCCCTTTCATTTCGCGAGTAAATTGGTCATTAATCTCTTGCCTAAACAGAATTTCACGGTCGTTCGACTTAGTTCATGTAAGATTCAAATCCCAGGGTGAACTTACTTTGGCATATTCACAGTCCCAAGTCGAGCCACAGAAATCTATTTATTTGGTGTTTCTCTAATTTTGCCCTTTGTACTTTCTGATGTACAAGTTAATGCATTGTGGTTTTTTGTAACATCCGTTTGAGATTGATATTTGTTGTTAATTTATATAACATATTCTACCACAGAGATATCTTTTAATTGTTTTCTTGAATTTGTATTCCTCAAATATTGCCGCTCGTGCGTCCACGAGTGATTTGTCAGACTGTCCACGAGTATGAATGGAATCAACAGTAAAATAAAGAACTTATGCAGTTCAATTTTCATTTCATGGATTAGTGTGCCATAAAAAACAAAAAATTACGTGACACTTTATTTCCTGATATAAGAGTCCAGTTTAATATCCTTAATTTGAATTTTTAATACGCATTTTTTGCTTCAAATTAATTACATATAAAAGTATGTATACAAAGCGGGAACATCAAAGTGGAACTTTTACAGGTGTTTCATTTTTGTTTAATGAATTTATTTTCAACAACCTTGTTACTGTAATCCGTTTGTAGAATCAGAGAATAAATATTATTTGTTTTATCAAGCAGAAAAGAAGAATAACACATAAGTTAAACATCGCTAGGATTGTATCAAAGGATATACATTATTCTCTCAGATTTCCTAGAGGGAATCTGTTATTTTAAGTGCCGCTATCAATATAGTTTGTTCGTGTTTAGGAAACCTTGTGCGGTCTATGAGATCTCCTGCCTATCTAAGTTTAAAGTCCCAAAGTTTCCTATTTGTCAAAACACACCGTATCATGGTCGGATTTTTAGAACAATTATTGAAGCAAATTATAAAGATGATTTGCTTTAGAAAATTGATGAAGTTATACACAGACCTTTAGCGTCAGGTGCCGTTGACAGACCCATTGTTTTTTGCTTTGTGGTTAAGTTGTGAATACATGTCCTCATATATTTATTGGTTAATTTTCTATTATCAATTCCGGCTATAACAAACATGATGCATCTGGAAGAAAAATTAGATTACAATATTCTGACTTTGATTGGCATATCTAATAGGAATCTTAAAAAGTAATTTGCATTGACACAGATTTATTTGTTTTCAATTAATTTCCACAGAGTGTATCATCAAACGTGGGATTTGAAAGTATGATAATTATATTGACAAGTTTTTCTTTTATGTATGAATATAAAATTTATGAAGACAATACTATTTAAATGCACCATCAACAACACATGCGGTCTGAACATGGGTATTGTTGCTGCAATTCAGAAAACTCACTTATAATTTATTTTATAACATCTCACTCGCTGATTTTAGTGACAGTCACGCGTTTTAAGATGATATGTTGAACTGAAGAAAAGAAGAAGAAAATATTTTTCAGTTGAAACTTAAAAGTGGATTTCATATTCGGCGACTCCGCTGGGTTTATCAGAAAAATTCTACTTTTCTCATCTGAAATTAATGTAATCCATTTAAAATAACAAAGTTTGTCCATGTACTGATGAATGATAATGATATCATATTTGGCTTACCGAGATCTGTATTATAAAAGGAAGGATTACAATAGAGATATTGTTTTACGGATATAAGTATCTGGTGTCTGCAAATATCTTAGTATATTTTGGGATTATTCAGGGATGTCAATATTATTGTTCAATCAAACTAAGTCAATTTTCTTCTATTATAAGAAGTACCAGAATGGAAACATGTCTTTTGGAAATGCATCTATTGTTTAGTTTTTGACCGCAGATCCCGTTGTCATCATTATCAAACAAAATAGTTGAATATATCCTCATTTGGTTTGGTAAGGTGTCGGCTAACTCACGACATAATTAACATTACAACTATTGTGTCTGCATATAACAATAATTCCATGGTTACTGTGCTAATTAATGAACATTTCATTTTCTAATGAACATCAATTCAACCTAATATGGTCATTAGTATGCAATGGTATTGAGAATATACAGCTTGACTGCCTGCAGACACTAGGTGTTCTATATCAGAACAATTAGACATGTAATTCAACATATTAATATTATAGTAAATATACCTGTTAGGCAGCAAGAGTCTGACAATAATAGTTATTCGATTACAATCATATATTAGTTGATGCAATAGCACATGAGAAGTTGACAATAAATATAATTAATGTAGAGATATTATAACAACGTAGTCATTCTTCTCCTTATGATTGATGTGTAATATATGTCATAGAAATGCCCACCCAAATACATTTGGCGTGCATGAATTCGAAACCTTACATTCATCTTATTTTCCCTTTAGCTTTCTATTTAAGCCCCCCCCCCCCTCCATATATACACACGCTGGTTTTGTACCTCAGGGAGTGACAGAGCCTGATATAGAGCTCTTATTTAAAAATGCAATGTCAAACTATTGGAGGGAATAGTTTTTCTTGTCAATCCCATCTTCGACTTCCAATGTGGTTATTACACCACTTGGTGATGTCAGAACAAGTGAAACCTTGTGAATCAAGATCCGTAAATCCAGGGTGGCTAAATTTCCATTTCTAAACTTCAGGTCCCGAGGCTGGTTTATTGCTGCAACCATTCCGTAAACCAAAGAGGATCAGGACAGCATTTTCCCCGACGCAGCTGTTGCGTCTAGAACATGCATTCGAGAAAAACCATTATGTTGTTGGCCAAGAACGCAAAGAACTCGCATCGAACCTGAGCCTCACAGAAACACAAGTAAGTAAACATACGTTATATAAGTTGCTCTTTGGACTGACCTTTAGGTACCTTCTTGAAGGTCGGATAATTAATGTTTTTGGAGACAAAGAATTTAAGGTTTTGATGGGCTGTGACCAACTGATGTAGGGTGAAACTAAGCAGATCTGATTTGGCAACATACATTAGCAGTAATGGGGTATAATGTGACACCTTGTTAGCAAAAGAACAGCCGCAAAAGCAATCTATTTACTCCAACTCTTCAAAAACTGAAAATGCTATGCATATCTATAACTACACGTCTTATTCCAGGTGAAGGTTTGGTTTCAAAATCGTCGCACTAAGCACAAAAGGCAGAAATCTGAGGGTGGAGATAGTGACAGTGAAAGTGACGAGGACAATGAAGAGGGTCAGAATTCCAAAACTGCACATCATATTAGTAAATGGCGTGCTGAAACCAACCAATTGAACGTCTGTTGAGGCACGTTCATTGAGGATTTGACAATGTCCCTCATGATGTAAAGGGTAATAAGATGTATTGTTGGCTTTACAGTGTTGACGTAGACTGTCTCAGATCTATGTCATTTACAAGTCAGATGGCGGCACTGAGTAGCAAAATCAATGGTTACAGTGGATGGGATACGTAAATGTTGGAGAACTGTCATATTGCCTAACATTTCAATGGTATAACATGTCACTACAGTGAGCATTTCGAACAAATATGCCAAACAGTGTTTTATGAAAAAATGTCTCTATATGACTTATGATGAGATTGTTCAAATTGTTTACTTTAATTAGCAAACATGGTGTGGACTTCAATTAAATCATTTGTAATTTCATTTAGCACCAGCATCTATTTAAAACAAGAATGTAGATTGTCATTATTGTTTTGGCAATGTTTCAACTTGTCAAATGACAAACTTATCAAAACTCTAGTCAGTGGTCAGACGATATCGGAGCGGCAAGTCAAACTAAACGACAGAAGTTGTCAGTGTTTATTTCAATATTACATTTTTACTCATGACTTTTTAGCACACACACTCATTGTATTTTGGCTTGCCGTTTGTATATAACTATTCTCTTCCAGAAATTGAGTGTTGATAGTCGTTGTACATATCAAGATTTAATTTGATCATCTAACTTTTTTGCCAATGCACAAAATGCCAATTTAAAACGTTGTCTGCTATTTTTCTTAACCCTAGCTAAAAGTAGCTATATGTAAAGAACATACCGTTTCCTATAACTGGTATTCCAGATCAGTGACAGTTTGTTGGTATATCGTGGAAAGCTGACCGTCGAAAGATGATTGTTTCTTGAATTGCAATAGGAAACATTAGCAAGTGTTCTACTGATGGTTTCCATCAGCACTTGCTAGATACAAACATTACTGTATCAAAAATATCAACAGGAAACTTATTAAAGTGAGCTTTACAAGATAAGGTATAATATTGAATCAATTTTTACTTATTTAGAACTTAGACCTACTTAGGAAGTTAGTTCAACAATCAAGTCTTTAATTCCAAAACTCTTTATATATTTTTGGTACTTGAAAAGTAAACACTTCAGTGATGAAGGACCCAGAAACTAAGTACTTATTTTATATGATAGAATAACAGTTTGAATGATGGTAAAGCAAAGATGATGAAAATTTGGAGAGCTATGTTACACAAAATGACTACAATTACTTGAGATATGACCTGAAATGAAACATCTTTCGTGTAAAGAGCTACAATTGAGATGATTTGCTTGTTAAACAAGAATGTTACAATATCTGTTAATCATCATGTAAAAAGTCATATGTTTTTACTCAGTTTAGGAGTCAATGGTGCATTATGTATGTTCATAAGGGAGTTATGGTTAGTAAGCATCATCATCACAAATAATTCGTTATCAGCCAAAAGAGACCACCAGCGTGTTCAATCACAAGCTCCATCTGGGGAGCTTACCATTAGACCTTGGGTGAACAATATCAGATGTGATGTCACTCTGCACTTTTATATATAGTTTTTATATTAATTTCTCCCAGAAGTGTACAATACATTCTATTTTTGAACATCTGTCTCTAAACATATTTCATGTATTTACTGACGGGATTTGTACCATACTGATTACAGCTATTACGCATATTATGTCAATCGTATGATGAAGTAGATACGGTAACCACCAGTTTTTGATGTGGGAATATGATACCACTACAAGATCAAAAACCTTTTATACTACTTTAAGTGTTAAGTCATTTGTAAAACATCCTTATACTTATACTACAAAACTTACAATGTATGTAAATTCCACGTATAGATATCGTTATTTGAACTTAATAATATATTGCTATCTACATATCATTTGCATTAATCAATGTCAAGTATGTACATTTCTCAATCCAGATGTACATGTATAGTATAAGACTGTTATAAAATAGATTTTATCTTACTGTATGAATATAAAATGTGTTATGTTTTGTTGCCCGAAACCACTATAATACACCTCGTGTCGTTACCATATATATATATTTCATTATTTAACGAGACACATCTAGGTATAATACCCCAATTCCCAAGTTACTCAAATCACCTCTACTGCAGACGATACTGTTTCCATGTACAACAAAGGAATGAATGATTTGAAGTTTTTATGACTTTGTGGGAATTTGAACATAAAACATGTCCAGTAAAATAAAATATGATCTGTCCAAAACAAGACAAGATATTTCACTTTTTGTGATTTTATAACACGGGGTCCATGGGGAATCTCCTCGAACTAGAAGTAACATTTTCAAAAAAATATTCGAAGTTGATAAACAATTTTCTAAACCATATTTCTAAATGTACTTTCACATGTAGATTTCAAATATGACATCGCTTTGACTTAATGACGTAAATCAAGATTATTTCTACTCGCATCTAGTCTATTAGATATATAAATTGAAGTATTAGTATATCGAAATGTAGTAAATCTAAATATATTTTGTTAATCAATCATGGTGTTTAGTTGTGAAGAGGCAAATATAGTCAGTAGTAGACATCATCATTTCAATAAAATACAACCCAGTACATGATTATTTGACTGCTAAATATTTCTGTTGAATGTTTAAACATTCCCCTCATATTTTGTTTTTAACTTTTTGTGAAAGTGAGCAACTACCTTAATAGTATAAAGTATTTATCACATACAGAACTAAAGTGCGCAAATACCTTAATAATATATAGACGGAATCATGACATACAGAACCAGACAAAGTCCGCAACTACCTTAATAATATAGAGAAATCATGACATACTAAACCAAAGTGCGCAATTACCTTAATAATTATAAAGAAATCATGACATACTAAAATAAAGTGCGCAACTGCCTTAATAATATAAAGGAATCATGACATACAGAACCAAAGTGCTCAATTACCTTAATAATATTAAGAAATCATGACATATAACCTAATGCGTTACATAGGAAAAGATGGCCCAGATCAAGTAAAGCAGAAATGATAATGCAATATGAACCCACCGATCGAATCGTTATACCTAATCCTCAACAGGTTCTACTTCCATCACAATGTATCATTGTGATTCATACTTTAATAGATATACAATAATGTAACCCTGCAAGTGAGGTGAAGAATAAGTGTTCTTTGAGTCGACGACGGACGAATGGGGTTAAGTTTGGCTGTTAGACCATTGCAGAGTTCTAATTATTTCATAGCCTCGGGCAAGGTAGATAAGTAACTTGAAATATTGGGGGGTTAAGACGGTCATATTTAAACGCCATTTCATGTAATCTCCAAGAAGATATATACGCCTGTATGGGTGGGAAACCTGCATTGTATATATGACCACTTGATGCTGCGTGGAGGCCATCCACTAAGAGCCCTCTCTCATGGTTGTCTGCAAAAATTGATAAAAAACGTATTTAGGATTGTAAATTAGAAATCTGTGACTGGTTCTTGAAATATTTTGCAAGTTTTATTTACATTGTGCCAATTAAACAGGTAATGAGGTTTGTATGCATGAAAAATGACTCGTCTGGAGATAAGGCAACGTTGTCAGTCAAGCATGACTAGTTTTGCAACACCCTTGTCTAAAATATAAGAGAATGTTTGGAATACGGGAAATTTGTTCTTAAATGTACATAGCTCATTAACAAGATGAAAGGTAGCCTGTGATAATGAAAAGATAATCTTTACCTGAGCTGCACCTTGCCCAATATTTCCACTTCCACCAGAAATCTATAGCAGTAGTTCAAACACATAAAATATATGGCATAAGGATGTTATTATCTTAAAGACATGTTGTAAAAGTGAAAATAAAGAGAGATTAGGCAGCATTTACTGACTAATAGCTAGGAACTTCTTGATATAATGGTCTGGTAGATTGGTACAAAGGTATCAAAAGATCCATGATGAAGTTGTGATATAACGAAATTTCTGAATCATTTTGAACAATGCATAACCACTTGACTTGAAGTACTACTAGTAAACATTTTCATCCGATTGCATGGCGTCGAAGATACACAAACTGCATGATTGGACAAGAAGATGGAAGCTGAGTTCAAAAAGCATGATGATAACAGTAATGCAGTGCTCTATCGTATGTACTTCTTGACGTCTTTGGTGCAGTCAGAAGTTGTAAAATGGCGCGTTTAGCATGGTTAGAGTCAACTTTAGTTAGCCATGCGTGTAGTCTTTAACAGTCCACAGGCGCTTCTAATATATCTTCTCTGGGTCAAAGGTTGGTTGCAACTGGATATTAACAAGCTTCTGATGTACTGTATGGCTGTTTTAAAGCTCTTTATCTCGCATTATCATTCTTCAGCCATCATTTTGCCTGATAAGGAAAGATTGGTGAGCCATTCCTTGTTATAATTACGTGCTAAACAACCTCATTATAGTCTTTTTGTTGTATTTTCTTGGAAAAAAGTGTGGCCTATGAAAAATGAATTTAGACCTTGCAACCAATCTGATTTTAGATCTTGTATCAAAAAAGTATTAACGTGGATTTGATTTTTAAAGATTTAAAATCCTGCAAAAAGGTTCAAAGACGATCCAATCGTTGGTGTCGGTGAACTTGTACATGCTGGAATGTTTCCCCTGAATCAGGGGCCCCTGGATTAGCTGCTGTGGTCTAAAGCCATCTTAACTCAGGCGTGTCTCATTGCTGTTACAAATGAACTTAATTTGCTAATTAAATTAACATGAAAGATTGCTTGGCTGGCTTGTTTGTGCCTCGCAGCAAGAAACTTGATCCCCACTTGCCACACACATCATGGGGAACAAGCCATTCGACTTGACAAGTGTAATAAATCAAATATCTAAAACACTTTACCTCAGTGGACAAGATCAACCAAGCATATCCGAAAAGCCTACCCTTTCAAGGCGTAAATATAAATCGGGTTCTTTTTGTGTCGAATGGTTTATTTCAATGTGGCGGATTTTACCGCTGGCGGTTTGTATCCCAGCTTTCCATCAAATAGGTCTGCATTTAAGAATAAGACTCATGGGAATCGCAGAATTAGATCACCAAGGATAACAGATCATAACACTCATTAGATGCTAGCTAATTTCTAAGACCTTTGCCTATTCATTTACTAACGTACAATGCGAAAGTATGCTTGGCGACAGGTCACGTATCCATTCACCTGTGCGATGCAGCAGCATGTAAATTATACACAGGATATCTCACCTAGATGATATAGTTGTCAGTTTTTGTCACACCGCCCTGTCGTCTCACACCCCTGACCTCATAAGCCGCTACTCTTTTGCTCGGTTCTTTGGCCTTGTAACACAACCTGGTGTCAGTCGCATCAGTTCCATTTTTTTAAAAATAGGTCAGTGTCCATTTGTTAAACACGATGGCCTATAAGTTTTTTGTTTGATTGACGTATGGAGTGGGGAATAATTCTACACAAGTCTTCATTTCTATATGATACATGGTACAATTGTCGTCCAAAC